GCTTGAAACATTTGGAAAGGAAGAACAGGTACATGTATAAGTATATATATTTAAATATAGTGGATAGATAAGTAGATAGATAAAGACGTGTTTAGATGCGAAGAGACGAGAACGAAAGAGGAAAAAGAAAGGAAAGAAAAAGAACGCACACGTGAGAGAGCATTATGTGCAGGCGGAAAGTATAAGGGAGATTGGAACGCGTAAGGAAAACTGGCGAAGGAGTATAACCATCCGACGGAAATGTAATTTACTCCGTGGCCTTCTCCCATCGACGCACAAAGTACAAATAATATAATTTAATTTACGTTTAATCGATAATCCCGAATACGCATAATCGGTAATCACACACGATCGAATGTACGGTTGGCGTGACTTTAGATGTTATGTATATCACATGTGTAAATAGTGTACTTGTAAAATACTGTGATAATATTTATATTACACGTGCGTATTACATTGCTTCGCTTAAATAGTACGGTCCCATGCGACGGCGATACACTGTAACGAGGTGCCAGTTCGTTTTGCGAATAGGTAGGTATTAGAAGAAGAAAACGGTTTCAGTTAATACCGTTCTCGGATTCTCCCTTCATTGCGATCGATACGACTCGGGCCTTTCGTTCTACTCGTGTTCTCTCTCTCTCTCTCTCTCTCTGTATCTCTCTCTCTTTTTTTATTTTCCGTGCGTGATATAAACGATCGCGAAAATGTACAAAAAGGGAAGAAGAAAGGAATCTGTATGATTAGGTAATAGTTTCGCGTGAAACTAGTTGCGTCGAGGTGATTAAAGCGACTGAACTCGTTCGAGGAAGGTATTAACAAACTGTTTTTAACCTGCTCTCTTGTCAGTGAAGTTAGAGAAAAAGGATTTCAAAAGTATTCCTCTTTTCGAACGATTTTCAATTTTACGATCTTTCTGCTTTTAACGTAAATACTTCTCGACGTCTCGAAATCCAAACGAGATTCGATTTGGAAATATTTGTTTTTTTACGTAGTTCAAATGTTACTTCATTGACTTTTAAATAATATAAAAGATAAATAATTAAGAAAACGCTTAAACAAATAATGTCATCTCCCGGTAAAGCTGAATTTGAAGGAAACAAAGCGTTGAGTCTGACTTATATGATGAAAGCTCGGGAACGAGAGTTTCGTAATTGCCTCGATGAATTAGGAAATACGTGTTCGATTGTTCGTCTTCGGTCCCGATAACGCAGGATAACAATTTTGTATGTAACGTCCGCGGGATTAGCGAGGCCGGGATCGAGGAAAATCTAAGCGACCAAGTAGTACGTTCCCACTTCCCTTCCATCGAAAATCCTTAATGCGGCATCCTTTTTATTTTAAATACTCATGTCGTTCAGGCCGAGGCGATTCCGCCTTTCCCTGGGACCGAAAAAGAAAAAAGAAAAACAAGAAAAACCAGCAGAAAAAAAAGACGAGAAATCGTAGTACGTGGTGCGAGTCCGAGCCAATAGACCCGACGGTGCACGCTTGGCATTGTTGCGTGTTAAAATAATATATATACACATACAGATCGTACATATGTGTGTATATATATATATATATTGTACGTGTCTCTGGCACGCACCCCATTAACACCCATCCAGCGAACCGCATTAAAAGTTCGCCTACCGTAATAACGACGAGAAAGAGAACGACGCTCCTGTCCCCCGGCGGGAGCTTCTTAAACGGAGCACGTATACAGCGGGGGTTCGAAGCAACGATTTACGATTTAACGACTTAACGATTATGATGCATTTCGCTAAGAGAGCACCCCGGCGGATCGGCGGCCCCACGAGGGAACGACGGAGACGACGGCTACCGGCAGGGCGCACGAGAGAAGGGCACGGAGACAGGTGGGGAGGAATCGCAGGGAAGGGAAAAGAGAAAGAACTCGCCGGGTTTAGCGGGAGGGAGAGATCGAGAAAGAGAAAAAGAGAGAGAAGGTATGGAAGGTGGAAGCAGAATACCATATACGGTCACCTTTGTCAAAGCCTGGTGGTTGCCATATACAGGCAATGTTCGCGATGGCAGATACTTATATAGAGTCCAACTTAAGAATCAGGAATGCCGGTTTTTGTCGCGCCTTCTATACACACCCGTGGTAATGGGGGGTACAAATGCGACTCGGAAGTGATTGCCGACGCGACGCACGCTGGAAGCGGGCCGAGGGTCGCGAAACCAGCCCCCGTCGTCGGCGCTTTCGGGAATCATGCGCCGGAGGCCGGCAAAGAGCTTGCGGCTTCAACGGGATTTCACGCCCCCACGGAAGTCTCTACGTCTCTTCTCACTCGCTTGGCTTTCGAAGACACGTTGCGGTCGGACGTCCCCGTCGAACTCTTTCCGCGTCGATCGGCTGACCAACACGCGTTGGCGTGATAGAACTGGGCCGCCGATCCGTCGATGACTAGATACCATTTCAGCTATTTTTAGGTGTTTCCACGCTCCTCGCAACGAGTCGCGGTTTTTTACATGGCGAACGATTCTTTTCTGTTCCTCTTTTTTTTTTTCACGATTCCGTTTTGCTGCTCGTGTACGCGTCCAAGTATACTTTCAACGTGCTGGCAGACGTAATTGAACTCTTTGGTGAATGACTGGTTCGAAAGTGGAGCAGTCTAATTAATCGGCTCGGTTTCAACTATTTTTGGAATGTTGAACCCTCCCAGTGCGATAGAGATCCTTTTCCTTGATCTTTATTCCCTCGGTGCTAAAGGACGTCTAATTTCTTTTTTCAATCACGAGTTTCTCGCTCTTTCATAATAAGCCCGTTAAACTTCTTGTGCATTAGAAAAGAAAATACGTGACTGAATTCTGATTAATTAGCGGCACGATAATGGTATGACCTAATTAATTAAAAGAGCTTTTCGGTAATTTAAACCTGGAACTGAATGTTCAGATGACAGTTCCAGTCTAAACTACTTTATACAATTAATCCTGTAGACAGCATCATTATATAAAACTACATAATAAACATATACCCAATTATGTTTAACTATTTACAATTAGTGATTTCAAATCCTATCACAAAATCATTAAAAAAATATGTAACAGAATAATTAGCGACGAATGAAGAGTAAATTTTTCGAAGCTGCTATCATTTCGTAATGACAAGAAACTGAGGCCCGTTCTGAGAGTCGAAGGAGCGCTTCCTAATCTCATGGTGGGACACAGTAGCTAATTTGCTTTCTCTCGAGGCGTACGCGACCGCCGTCGGCCGCGGCGGTCGACACGTGTACGCGCGTTCCTAACGAATGGGTCGAAACGCGTATGTACCGTACGTACATATAAAACGCATAGGTCCCCGAACGGCGGTAGGCCGTTGAAAAAAAGCCATCCGGCGGTGGTTGTCGGACGGCCGGGGGAGAGAAAGTCAACCCGGGGAAACTGTAGTCCTGCGTAAATTTGTGAGAATCTCCCGTGGAAGCGCGGATACGAGTTCAGGCTGCGCGCGGATGGCCATATAAGGCGCGCGAACAAGCTAAGGTGCGCGCATCTCTCCCTGCTAGGTAGGTAGGTAGGTAGGTAAGTTGGTTCGTCGGTTGTTTCGCTGCTTGCTTAGTCCGCTCGGTAGGCTTCCCGTTGATTGATCGGTTAGCCGGCCGTTTGATTGGCTCGCCGATATTATTACCGAGGCGTTATCTACGATTTACAGGCACGAATCGAGAGACTCGGCCGCCGATGCTACTCTACCGATCTCTTCCGACTTGTTTTCTGCTTGTCGTCGCGTACGCTCGTTAGGCATCCGGAATTTACGGACCGATACGAATCGTACGTCATCCCGATATCGTTCTCGCGACGTTTTCATGACGTCCGTTGCAGTTTTTGCCTTGCCTCGTCTGCCCCCCATGCCCCCCCATGCCCCCCCATGCCCCCCGTTGTCCCTTAAACGATTCGGTGGTCTCCGTCAGTTTCCATGTAAGACGAATTTCAAGATCTCAGCCAGTAATTAGTCGCGCGACAGGTTCGTGTTCCCTCTCGGAAACTGATATCTACTTGAATTAAGTTTCCGTCGTTTATCTGATTAAAACATTTTATGACAGGTGCTTAAGCTGAAAAGAGTTCTTGGAAAAGAGTTCTTGGAATTAATTTAGGGAAACGAGGTAGAAACTTCGTAGGTCATTCGTAGACCTCAGAATTTTAGACGTATTTGAAATCGTACGAACTAGGACTCTGATGACACGATATTTCTAATCGATTAGCCACATAACAGTCACGCACCTACACTTCATAGAACACTTAGAAATAGTTATTTTTAGAGCATACGAAAGGTCGAATGTTCACTCGGAAAAATATTGTCTCTGTTACAGGAAGACGGAACCTCGCCCAGGTCGGACGTCTGTGCCAACGAAAGCGACGGAGACACCAGCGACGGCGATTCTCCCGTCTCGAAGGATCTCTCAAAAAATCATTCAGGTAAGCGTGCGACGTCTGACATAATTTATCTACGGCAACCATGAAAAGCATTGGTAACGATACTTTGTTTAAAATTAAATGACGATTAATAAGGTAGGTTCGACTAACAATGCTTTTTGTAACAATGGTACGACTCTTACCTGTTATCCCCGACGACGTTGAGAAGTTACTTTAATGCAATTCACGCGGGGAGAGGGTCTACTTTTTCTCATAATAAAACCGTTTATTATCGACAAAGCGATCGAGTGACTCGGCGGTAAAAAAAACCGGCTCGATTGCGCAACATTTTCCGGGCTACCTCCGAACTCGTCGATGCTCTTCCCATTCGTCCCGTTTCCCTCCCACCCCTTGATACGTGCGTGCGCTAGAACAATTTCACCTGTTCGCTCGCGGTTCTTGGGACCGCGAAGAGACAATCGGGGTACAGCTGCGCATACGAGGCCGAGTAATTAGCGAATTTCCCCGTGGGCGTAGCAGGAGTCGGCGAGCGGATTAAAGTAGCGAGGCTGTGCCAGGTAAAAGCCGCGGCGTGGAAAATCGTTAGAGCCGACCCGTAGGTACAGAGGCAAACGTGCAATCCAATCAGTCAGGTAGGTCGCTAGACGGAGACACGCTTGTGTACGGAGGAGGAAAGAGCTGGCGAAATCGCGGCGGCGGAGCGAGCGCGGAGAGAACGCGGAGAACCAGAGAGAATGGTATCAGAGAGGTAAACGTATATATATATATATATATGTGTGTACATATATATATGTATGATGCGTACACGTAGCTACACGGCGGGGTGGTGCGAGCGAGAGCGTCGGGAAAAGAGAGGGCGAAGATAAAGGAAAGAGGACACTTAAAATGCGAAAAGTGTGCGAGCGATGACGAGGTTATCCGTGTAGGGGAGTACATAAGGAGCTGTACGGGCCGCGATGACCAAACTAAGACAACGACGCGCTGCCTAACTGGGAAGTAAGATCCGGTCGAAAGCCGCGCTCCGATGCAGGTGTACACATAAATATCGATGCTAATATATGGAGTGGATGCCATCCGACTTACCGATCGCCAGCATGACGTACGTTTTTTTCCTTTTGTCCGTTTTCGCCTTTCCATTGTTCCGCGCGGCGCAAACTGTCTCCCCGACGGAATTTTGATACGCAGCTCCGCCACGCGTTCATATCACGGCCGACGGCGATCTTCCAGCCCGGTCTCGAACTTAGATCGCTAATACTGTTTCAAGGGGTACACGTCGACGATCTTCTTAGAAAAAGTAAATAAAAAAAAATCGTAATCGATGGTATATGAAACGCTAACTCGTGCGAGAGTAGGCGAATCTGATAGTTCACCACGCACGCTTTTACCTGTTCCTCCTTATTTATCCTGGAATTCCAATTCTCCCGTGACACAAAATCGGATCTTGTATCGTTACATTGTTATTCTGAGAAACCGTAACTAACACGCGAGCGATGACAGAGAAATTCTGAACGCATAGAGCTAATGAAGGCCCTCAGATTACGTCCTGTTGTCTAAACAGTCCGAAATAAGGACAATCGTAAAAGCGGAAAAGGGACTTCGAAAATTCGCCTGAGACTGTCAAATAAAATCTACTGTTGAACTTTGTTTTTAACCCTTTGCGACGTTGAGCGTCCGCTGTGGGCTGCCGACTTTTTACGACAACGCGAATGCACATAATACGCGAGATTATTAATAATATAGGATAATTTAAAGTAAAGTACTAAATAAGCAAAGAACAAATATCTAGAAATGCTATATAATCTCAAAAGTCTGGTAGTATCAATCGCATATATGCGTTCACAGCCTAAATTGAATAGTTGTGTCAGAACCCACATATGCGTTTATAGCCGAAATTGAATAGTTATGAATATACCCATACATCCGTTCATAACACTGAAAGGGTTAATCCAGCACTTCTATAAAATTAACAAGCCATTTGTCAAGAAAGCAATCATGATCTTGCGCAGGTATAATGTACCAGATGCCACAGACAGTGATTTACTCGCCAGGCCCGGGAGTCCTACTTGGCATAGGGCAAAATGGTCAGCCGGTGCAAATCTCTCAAGAAGGAGGTGAGAAACCATGATCAATCTGGAAAGTACTCTCTCTCCCCCTTAAAAAGAGAAAAATCACACCCTCCTCGATATTCGAGCGTTACGAACCCCGACGGACGTGCCTATCAGCGCTCGTACAGCCACGCGTACGATAGACACGAAATGTGTTCCCGGTCCTTCTTCCTGTTTCCCAAGTAGAGGATTTTTTGGCATTGTTTCGCAGGCACGGTAACCCCGGTCAGCACCAGTCAGAGTAATCAGCCGTTTATCACGATACCGTTGAACGTAGCGATGAACGCCGCCGGTCTGTCGCTTCCGGTCACATCCAGGATGAATCTGTCGCCGACACCACGATCCCCGACGACGACGACGACAACGACAACTGTCGCGTCCAACTGCGAGCTGCCATCGGACCTGAGCAAAGATCGCGAGTGATAACAATCGCGGATCCTTTGAGAAAAGTCTTTCCGATGCGGCGAGGTCTTCGTCCGACGGATCTGGACGGAAGGGAGCTAGCGTGAATCCATGCACAAACGGGAAAATCACCTGCGAGACGTCCTCATTACTGATCGGGTGATCATTTCAATTATTAATTCGTGACGATTGAGAGGAACGGATGACTTATTATGTCACAGTTCTATGTGTATGCGAGATGCTCGCCTTTTCAGCCGCTTGAGATTCCTAACGCCGGGTCGATTTTTATTGTCCCATGTTTTCAAGTGCCTGATGTATCGAACATTCGTTAAATAAGATCCTATTTAAATTGGGACGTGTGTCAGACCCATGGATTATCGACCACTCGGAATTCTCTAAAAGCGTTGATTTTTATTGTCTCATATAATATTATATACATATCGAGTGGTATTCAAGCGGCTGACGATTCGAGCATTTTTCTATAACGTTTTAATTTAAGATAATACCGATACTCACTGGTAAAATATCTTAATCATCGATTTACGTTGGCACATAGCCAATCATACTTTTTTTGAAGAGTGTCATTTTTTAATGCACATATATATATACATACAATGTATATATGCGACGTGTCAATGTGGACATTCTTCGTTTCCCTTTAAAGAAATTTTTATATAGTTTATGAACAGTACTTAAAGTTATTTTATTAGCAAACATTTATTGCACAGTTTGCATCTTATTATCGTTGTAATGAAACGTTAATCACGTTTAAGTATTTTTGTAAGCCACTCCAGATACTCAAGAGATTATGAATAGAATAGATACTTGAAAACATTTTTTCAACCCTGTTTAAGTTCTCTGCGGCGTTTCATAACGCGTAAATCGCATCGTTCGGATGGTTCGCAATTTACCAGTGGACATCGGTACGCTTTTCGTCGACGCCGTGCTCCGTTGCCCGGCGTTTAATCGACATTTGTGCAATACTAGTCGAACGTTTTGCCCGACGAACGTTTCGCGAAGCAACTTTTTACACTGTCCTCGTAGAACTCACCGCCTTTCGAAGTATTTTTAGCGTTTCGTAAATTGTTGACAGGTTCGTTCGCGAACGAAGCGGATAGATATTTTTCGACGTTAAGATCGTTTAATGACTCGCGATTGTGCCGAGTCGAACGGGACGCATTCGAGTGTAAAACATTAAGAAACATTAAAACAACTGATACAAATAAAACAAAAAAAAAGGAATTGAATGCATTATACATCCACGTCGAAGTCCGTAGGAATTCTGTATCGTTCCCTTTGCAAAGTTCAGCGAACAATAATTGAGATACCTCGAACAACGTACCGTTCGACTGCGACGTTTTGTTCATAGTCCTCTAGATCACACGCGAGTTCATTCATGAGGATTTTTCTAAAATATCGACCAAGTTCGATGATCCGAAGGGCGACGATGACTACCTTTAATCATACAGGGTGCTTCTAAAAATAATAAAGTATCTATAAGTCGACGTTATCGTTTCTTTGAACTATAGAGGAGAAGATATTCGATATATTTTTTAACGTGAAAGTGCGATTAACTAAAAATTTATTTTGTTCCCACATATTTTTATTCGGATACTGACTTTCCTCTCGAAACAATAAGACATCGAAATCTACGAATCACTTCAATTTTCCTTTGTGTATCAGGCATGTAACGCGATGAGCACGTTTCGAAATCAATGATGATCGATTAATTAACTGAATCATTAGATTGGTCTTCGATTCATCGTCTTTACGATGAAGAATTAATGATCGGTCATTAAATGCAAAATAGTGATAAGCACGCATTATTGTCAGTCAAGTTGATTTAACAGTATTTCTAATCCCGCTATTTTACACCTACGAAAATAAATTATCAGCTTGTGATAGATAACGCGGAGAACTTGTATTTTTTTACATTACACCTATAATTATGAATTCTGATATTACTGTCGACGGGCGAGGAATACCGCCGAACTTGCCTGACAAAAAGGAACACAGTTATGCCATGCATTTATCATATATGTTGGTAATCTCAGATTTTATCTAGTATCTTCCCAAATTTTTAATACTCGACCTAGTCGAACGAGTTGATACAAGCCAGGCATTTCTTCTCCTATCACAATTCGTTTCTTCGTCCACAAATCAACTGTACGTAATAGGATTCCTTTTTACTTTATATTTATGCTTTTGTGATCAGAAATCTGTTTCGTTCATACATCATTTCATTTATCTTCTAATAAGATTTACGCGTATAACAAAGAAATCCTCCAGCCTTATTGTAAATAAATCATACCAATATAACATTGAATTTGTTACGTATTAAATAATAATAGAACATTCGGTTGCAATGTAATCCGTTAACGATGAATTCTGTCATTCTGTAAATAGGCAATGTAAGCATTTCATCCTCGATTTATCTCAATTACTTTCGATGTACGAAAGTGACGCGTGTTTCAAGGCGCGGGGATGTCAGATATGATGTACTTCGAAGCTCGGTGCTTCCATACGCAATAATTGCAGCAACAATCTTCCATAGATTATTTTCAATTATTTCATTTTCAATTATTTATTTATAATTATTTTCAAAAATAATAGCGAATCGCTGGATAAGCTGAAGACGCACACCGGCTAATTTAAACGCGGGTGGAATTCACTTCAGTTTTCGCATTATGTAAATGAAATGGGGAAGAAGGCTAAGCAAGAAAATGAGGAAATTCGAGGAACGGTTTTTGCACTTTGCTATACTCACTTTTTAGTATCGCGTCGCGTCAATACTCCACGATAATTACGGTAAAACTCACGCTGTTTGTGAGTGATTTCACGATCGGGTACGGAGATAATACTCACGCATCGAAATTACATGTGTAAGTCATTCACGGAACCTACGCAAATATGGTGAAATAGTAATGGAACGAAATAGTTTGAGCGTTACGATTCGATTGTTTGTACATATGTAATTACGGCGGAATTTTATCGAGATGCCAAAGAAAACCAGATGGAATAAAGTGTGAAGGAAAAAGAACGAGGAATGTGTTTAAAGAAAGTATCTCTCTCTACAACTTTCCTTATTTTTACTTTTATTTCCAGATAATTAGGAATTTACATTTTAGTAGACTCTAACACGCTTTTAGTTTGGCTGACGTCTTCAACATCACAATGAGAGGAAGAAAAGTGCAAGCTGTATTAACCCATGGATTGAAATGACGAGTCCAACTGGTCACAAACTTTCTTTAGCAAACTGACAATGACGAGCTGCAGTCGCCAAAAATTATTAACAACTGAAGCTTTTTATGAGAGATTCTCTTTATTCTTTTTCTATATTCGTTAATAAAATTTCTGAAACAATTCATGATATTTTC